GGATAATGTGGAATTTATTCTCATTAAACAAGGTAAGAAACACGACAGGGAGATGTTTGATAGTGTGCAACCTGCTTCAGCATTACAGGCCTGGGAACAAGGACTTTGTGCAGAGCGGAAAGTATTAAAAGCATCATTGCACTCAAGGTAGAGTTCAGGTCAGTGACCTTCAAACAATGATGGAGACAGTAGACGTGGGGTCTCTGCTCTGGCACAATCATCCTGCTTAAAGGCTGCAAATTCATCCTTCAATTTAAGATAAGAGCTCTGACGTTTCCATGTACATTTTAAATAGCATTCTAAATTAAAGAATACATCTCACTATTTATAAATGCCTGCAGGTTGTGGTTTGATAAAGCCTAAAGGTGATTGAATAGCTGTAGGGGTTGGGTTTCCTGTTTTGTTTTATATTCTATGTAGATTCTATGTGTTGACCCAATATGCAGTGATCTTGTTAAAATCATTAGCCATTTAAGGTATTTTCTTTGTGGGCTTCAAAGAATTTCTCCATAGGCAATGCTGTCAGATGCAAATAGAGACGTTTTAGCCCTTCCCCTTTGATCTGCTTTGTGACTTAATTTTTTTCTTTCCTTATTGCAATGGCTAAGTGTTTTTACTGTATCCTTACCTTTTTCCTTAGATAGAGGGAAAAACATCCAATATTTTGTTCATGACTATGTGGAAAGCTGTAGGAGTTTATGGGATACTGTTGTTGTTTGATGTTGCCTTCCAAGTCCAGGCATTTCCTTTACTATTAATTTGCTGAGTCTGCCATCATGATTGGCTGTTGAATTTGACTATATATCTTCTATATTTATTATCATGTTTTAGTAGAGTAATGACCCAGTGGATAACTAGAATGGCATTAGATGTTGATCCAATCTTGTATCTTAGACTGAACCTTAGTCATGAAGTACAAATCTTTTTTTAATGTAGTATATATTTAAGGGATGAAAGATGTTGTCTTGATATACATACACATGGTAAAATGATGATAGAAGTTAAGCAAGTTGATATATCTGTCATTTCACAGTTTCCTTGTTTACGTGATTTTAAAAAATACTTAAAATGTACATAGTTTTGGGTATTGTCAAGTAAATATTGCTGGATATAACCCATAATATTTTATTGATTTTCATTAGAAATATTGGTCAACATTTTCACTTTCTACTTTTTTTCAACACTTTATAGTTTTTATATATGAAAAACAAACTTCATTTCAGTACTTATACAGATCTTTACAATGAGACAGATCAGGGCTTTTGAAATGTATGATAATGTAAATATGTCAGAAAATACTATGCTTTTACATACTTTTATGATATTGATCATTTCAAATTGGTCTGATTGTTCTATGTATGTGATTTTGAGAAATAGGTTAAATAAATTTGTGCTTAAGATTAAAATTCAATTTCTATTTATATTAATTATATTTTCTAAATAACATGAGGAAAGCTGATCATTTTGTGCAAAGAGATCTTCTCTCAGATTCTTTTCTGACTTATATGCTCATGCTAGAATTTAACATTCCCTTTAATATGAAAATTGCAGAAAAGAGAATTTCTATCAACTGTTTAAAATTTCATCACTAATACACATGTCATTATTATTGAATTTTATTCTGAAGCATCAGTACACTCCACTCCTAGGCAAAAAGGCCTTATTTGTAAATTAGAAACCAAAGCACTGGGTTAGAATTAAAGCACCCTTTGGTAACAGAATTTTTTTTTATATTTTATTTTCCAGTTTAAATTTAGATAAGAAACGAGGTTGCTTCAAAAGTCAGTTCCAGGTCCCTCTCCCATTCCCTCCCCTCCTCCCGTGCCCTCCCCCAAACCCCCCCCTCCGTTAACCCCTCATTCCCCCAGGGAGGGTGAGGCCCTCCATGGGGGTGTCCATAGTCTGTCTTTTATCCATCAGTATGTAGGAAATGGGCAGCTAGTCCCAGGTGTAACTCTGGGGTTATATACGTGAAAAATATCCTTATTTATTTTAAAAACTTTGGAAATAGCTAGGCTCAATGATCACACATATCCATTTCACCTTTTTTTCTTTTTTGGTTTTTCCAGACAGGGTTTCTCTGTATTGTTTTGGAGGCTGCCCTGGAACTCCCTCTGTAGACCAAGCTGGCCACGAACTCATAGAGATTTGCCTGCTTCTGCCTCCCGAGTGCTGGGATTAAAGGCATGCACCACCACTTTTATGGCACATGGCGTATGAAGTACCTCATAAAATTTAAAAGAGAACCACCATGTTATCCAACAATACCACACCTGGGTGGTTTCAATAGGAAATGTCCCCTGTAGGCTCATGTGTATGAACACCTAATCCTCAGTATCACTGTTGGGGAAGATACGGAACCTTCAGGAGGCGGGGCCTAAGTGGAAGAAGTGTGTCATTGGGGCCAGGCTCCAAAGGCTGATAGCCTGGCCCCATCCCCCCCATTCCCATTTCCTAAGTAAAGACACAGAGTAATCAGCCAGCTTCCTGCTTTCACAGTGATACCTTGTCTGCTTGTCCCCATGCCCTCCCCATCGCAAGTGACTCTAGCTCTCTGCAATCCTAACCCAAAATAAACCCTTTATTCCTTAAGTTGTGTGGTGGTTTGAACGAGAATGGCTTCCTTAGGCTCACGTGGAGGAATACCTGATCCCTAGTTGGTGGACTGTACTGCTTAGGAATAACCAGAAAATGCAGCCTTTTGGGAGGAGGTGTCTCACTAGGGTGTGGGCTTTGAGGTTTCAAAAGCCCATAGCATTCCCAGAAGGGGCTCTCTGCCTTATGCTTACATGGGCTTTCAACTATTGCTCCAGCACCATTCCTGCCTGCCTATGGATCATATGTGAGCTCAACTACTGCTCCAGGACGATGCCTGCCTTCTTAGGCCATGCTCTCCACCATAATGGTCATGGACTCACCATCTGAGGTATCTAATAAAGTCTTTCTTCTGTAAGTTGCCTCAGTAATGGCATTTTGTCAACAGAGATTGAAAAATAACTAAGACAGGTTGTTTTTGTCAGGATATTTTATCACAGGGAAAAAAACTAATTTACTGCAAAATAAAAAAATGATAAATGTTCAAGAGACAAATGTGCTTTGTGTCCTGACTGAATCTTTACACAATGTGTTCACTCATCAAAACATCACAGTGAACCTCATGAGTGTGTTCAACTGTCATCAATAAAGATATCCACATAAGACCAGCACCCTGGCACATAAATCAATCTAAAAGCAGAATCCAACATATAAAAAAGTGGAAGAGATAAGACGTCTAATGTAAAAGAAAAAAAAGTTCACTGGCAAGCAATCTATCAATTTGTATCTCTGTACATAACTAAGGTCATAATGGAAAGCAATTTTTCATAAAGTAGAAAAATAACTGTCTAAATAAAAAATGAAGGCGAGAAGGATTGGAAAATGCCCTGTTTTTTGTGGTAACTTTTAAATTAAAATATAACATCATTCCTCTCCCCTCTTTCCTTCCTACAACTCCTTTCCTGTAACCCTCACTGCACTCTCTTGAAATCATAGTCTCTTTTTCTTTCATTTGTATTGCCACATGTGTATAACCTGCTCAGTCCATTTAGTGTTACCTGAACGCATATGATTTTAGGGATGACTGCTGGTTATTTCTGCATAGCTAATTAGGGGACTCCATGGACACCTACATGCATGTGCTCAAGCACACACACACAGAGAGAGAGAGAGAGAGATACTTAAAATTAAAAATAGCTTTTAAAAGAACAAAACCAAAAGTAGCAATAAAGAAGATAAAATAATAAAGAAAAAGAGGAAAGTAAGAAAATATTTGCAAACACAGGTGTCAACTTCGAGCCATCATGACTCATTCTGTTTCACATAGAGCTTTCATTACTAAAGAATTTGACACGCTTCAACAACTTTTTATTGTGTTCTCAAACTTTAAAAAAAATTACACAATTTTCAATCTAGTTGCAGTGGGAAGTACACTCCAGTCAGGACACTTCAAAGAACAAATTTTATTTTCACTTGAAGAAAATCAGTTCAAATCACAAAGTATAGGTTCCATGCAGAAATTGAGGAGGGGGACCCCAGAAGGGTTTATTTGGCTTGAGTGCAGGAATGTGGACTCTGAATTTTTGGTGTTTTTGCTTTGTAATTTTAATGGCATTCATGCTAGAGCTGCCATTAAGAGATACATTTGATTGACAGCTCCTTAAGGAACAAAGACAACATCATCAGGCACCAGGCAACTCACACCAGTGTTTAATAGCAGCATTTAAGCAATATCATTAATAAAAGTCAATTTACAGCACACATAGATTTTTTTCTTTACTCTTCCTGCTTATTTAACCAAAAGCTTTAACTATAGAGAACCACAGGCAATATTATATTTATCTCTTGGAGATAGTAATATAGGCAAAAACATGCACATACTTAATTAACAGTGAGTTTAAAACACTGACTTCAAGAGTTCTTATGTAACAATTATGAATATTGTTTTAAACTTTGGTGTTTAGGTGGAGGGGATGGTTGAAGTGCCCTTTTGATGAATGGCTGTCATCATCTCTACAGTCCCCTTATGTTTCGGGAGCTACCTCAATGCTAGTAGCTGAATGGATAAGAAGAATCTGATCAATGCAAACAGTGGAAATTCACAGCGATTTAAATACCATGTCACTCACAGCTAAGCACTGAGCCGTACTCTTGGAATCCAGTTGTAGAGAGGGAGGAAGGATGAGCAAAGGGATCAAGACTGTGCTGGAGAAACCCACAGAAATAGTTGACATGACCAAGTGAGAGTTCACGGACCCTAGTCATAAAGCTGGGGAACCAGCATTGGACCAAGAATGTGGGTGCCAGTCAGGAGGCTCAGACAGTCTGTGGGACCTCAAACAGTGGAGCCAGTGTTTATCCCTAGTGCACAAATGGACTTTGGGAGCCCATTTCCCATGGAGGATACTCTCTCAGTCCAGATGCATGGAGGAAGGCCTAGGTTCTCCCCCAAATGAGGTGGCAGACTTTGATGATCCCCCATGGAAGGTCTCACCCTCTCTAAGGAGTGGATGGGGGGGTTAGTGATTGATATGTAAAATAAGATGGATTCTAAATTAAACAAATAAATTAAAAAATAAATAAATAAATCCCATGTCAGCTCTGATAATGGTGTGCTCCTTCCCACCACAGGCCATGATGAAGCAGTCCTGGTAATGGTGTGTTCCTTCCCATCACAGACCCAGAGCACAGAAGCCTCGAAGCTTGTGTGTCCCTGCCTGCCACTGAGCTTGCTCATGGAAGCTGCTTTCTTTTACTGCATCTGTATTCTCTAGAAGTAAAAACAAAAAAAGAGAAAAAACCTGCTTGCTTTCCAACACAGAAACACTCTCATAGCCAATGCTGGGTGGATTTCCCAATGTTGTCCAATGTTTTCCAATGTTGTTCACAGTGATTCCTTCCATACTAATTAGATAGAGCCCCTCCTAGTTCTACCTTCTTGAACCTCAGCTGTTTGTAACTGGAGTCTTTGTTTCACCAGCGACACCTAAGGTGACAAGTTCAATAACAAGATCACCCTGATTCCTCAAGGTCACCAGGTATTCCCTGGGACATAGGCATCTACAGCCCATCTTGTCTTGTGGCATGCTAGGAAGAATAAATAAGACAGGGCTATGGAAACTCATCACCAGCTACAATGTTCCTATAGAGATGGATCCTGGAAGGGCAGGGAATTCAGGGCTCTCCAGAGCATAGTGGAGTTTCCCCGGGAGACTCTGATGATGCGGGAGTTGAGATTGCTCTCATTCAGCTGGCACACCTCCACCACTGAGTTGGGGCATCTCAGAAGTAACAACACACCAGGAATAAGTTCTCAGAGGTGTGGCATGCTCAAGGCCTGGGTGTTATGCCAGTCATGTCTGGCCTGCTCTTGTGTTCTGTGACTGTGGGGAAGAACTGATGAGCCACCTTTGATCTGTTACGGAAACAGTTTGCTATTAGATCCTGCATTTCTCACACTTAGCTGTGAGAGAGAGCCGAGAAGAATCCTCAGTCCAAAGCAAGCAACGAGAATGTGAAAAGCATGGCCAAGCTCTGGCTATCCCTCCTTACTGACAGAGTCTACCCAAGTGTGGAACTATGGCTAAAGCTAAGAAAACTGTAGGGGCAAGCAACACCAGGGGCGTTTGAGAAGCAGTGAGTGCGGAAGGATAGAAAAATTCACACAGACAAGGACCAGTACATGCCTCGTGTTCGCCCTTCTCTTTCCAGAGGAATAGTTCACAGATGTCTGCGGTTGACTGGCCTGGAAGTCACCTGCTAGACAGAGTAACTGGAGGCTGCTTGACCAACCATCTCATGCCTACTGTCCTCCCATGGAGAACTCCCCTGAAGTGCAGAAACCCAGAAGCAAGCCCTGGAACCCGCCTGGGGTTTCCTGAACAGTTCAGCAAGGGTCCGTGTACTTGTAGTCCACAGATCCTGAGTAATCCCAGGGTCCTGATTCCTTGAGTTCCCTCTGAAGGTCCAGGACTGGCACTGATTCCAGTCACTAACAAAGTTCTTCCTTCTTAGAACACAATGACGGGTGGTCACATGGTCAACTGTCCCTGGAAAGGCTGGCCCCACCCTGAGACTATACTATGTGGAAGGGTTACCCACAGCCAGCCTGAATCAGGCAGTCAGGCAGTCCTTCCTCCTCTGTCACCATGTGGCTGGGAAGCTTCAATACCCAAAACAAGCTAAGCTAGAAAAGGCTTCGTGGATCCACAGGCATTTGACGCCACACAAATGAGCCAGTTTTAACAATTAGTGTCTAATCTTTTGAAGTGCGGTGCTATTGTAGACACCATCTCAAAGAAACCCACAGCGCTCAAAGCTCAGTCAACTAGGGGTTATCACACTGACTCCCATACTCCAAGATGCTAGAGAACATGCATGGTGAAGACCAGATTCAATCTAAGTCTTTTCAATACTTTGGCATCTCTGAGCATCCAAAGCTACATAGTACAGCCTGCAGTGTCCTGATGTCTGTTCTCTAGAAAAAGATCAGACTTTCCACCCAAGGTGATGTCAAAAGCCTGAGCAATAGGATGGACTCTCATGCAACCATTCAACCCACCAACCCCAGCCAGCACCGTGTGGATTCAGGAAATCTCGACAGAGTCATTTCTACTGGGCATGTAGCGGTGGGAAACTCACTCCCTTCCCCTCTCCTCACTCACTCATGTGGCCATAGTACTGTCACTGTACCCAGAACAGCACTTAAGAGTCTGGGATGCTCATGGAACCAGCAAGAGGACTGACAGGACACAGCCAGCCACCAAGGCCATCCAGGGGCAGATGTCTAGGGCTGCTAGTGTTTCTCCATGCCATCAGCACATAGACAGCATCACCTTAGACCCACAGAGCAGCTTCTGAGCCTGTAACACTGAGAAGTCAGAGGCACAACGTGTGCATAAGAGAACCACCGAACACCTCGACTACATGTTACCTGAAACACGCTAGTCTCACACAGAAGCAGCCTGCATCCACATGGGAAGCCTTTTAACCAGTTCTTTATAACCAACTTTTCCATTTAAGAGGGAAAATATTCAATTATGGTGTTAACTTAAGTCATATACAACCATTTGAAAGCCAATCAGCTTCAATGACAAGGTCCGTTGGCAACCTGCTGTGTGTGGTCCTACAATAAACAAAGTATTAACTAGACAGATTATTAACAGGGCATCAAGAAGAAACCCAACATGCCACTCTTTAGTAGGATCTGACTCACTTCCCTAGACAGCCACTTACAAATTGAAAACATGAGAAACATTTGCAACCCACACAGATGAGAGCCGGCACACTCTAGACAGCTGAGTTTCCCCATGGAATCTTCCTATTCATGCATTTCTTCAGTTTCCATGCTCTATGATATGTAAACATGTAACGAACCCTTAAAGCTAAGAGCATGATGCAGTCGCATGCCCATTGTTCTTACTATGCAAGATGGTTTTACTATAAGCATGGCAGTGCTGAAGGACTCTAGTCCAGAATGGAAGGAAGCAGGTACTTAGGCAGGTGGGCCTCTCCTAATAGAAGCATCTGACCTGGGGTATCAGTCAGCAGAGGGAAGCTATCACCGCTGGACCTCTGTGCACCTGAGAGATAGGGGAAAGCAGTGCCCCCCCCATCCTGGTTCAAAGCTGACTTGTAAGCAGCTCCAGGCACTGCATGACTCATGAAACCAGCAGTCTGCCATCTCTTTCTTCCAGCCTCTGCTGCCTGGGGGAGACAACTGTGAAAACCATAGGTAAGGATTTCTGGAGAGGTAAGAAGTTGAGACAAGAGGATAAAAGTACAAAAGATGGACAGAGGGGGACAGGAAATCGTTGTACTCCCAATGTGTAAATAGAACAATTTAGTCAAAAGCAATAATAATTTGCCTAAAATATTCAAAAAGGAGCCTCAGTCTCTGACACTGCTGAATACATATGTGGTCAGAATAGCACAGAACAAGTCTGTTACAATACCTCTCGGGAATGTTGCTGACTGTACTCCTAAGTGGGAACTAGAATAGGGTGTGTGTGTGTGTGTGTGTGTGTGTGTGTGTGTGTGTGTGTGTGTGTGTAGCAGCAAGCATTTCTGCTATTTAAATATTCCCAAGAAAGGCCCCACAGAATAATAGCACTGAAACTGAAAAGCTTGTAGAGAAAACATCAATTTTCTGTGAAACACCCTAAGAAGGAGAGCTCTTCAGCCACCCGACTTCAAAGACCCACACATTTCCTCTTCCTCCTGGCTATAGGATGCATGCTTGTTGTATCAGGCAGATGGTCATCATCCAGTGTGGTATTGAAGGGATGTAACCAGCATGCAGTGTGGGATGGAAGGGGGTCACCAGCATCCAGTGTGCCTCCAAACTGATCTTGGAAGAGCTACATTGAAAGACGTTTGGCACATTGATGGGCTCTCCCTTTATCCATCTGGATGACTGATCTGGCCCAGGTCTTGGGGACACTTTCCAGAAAACCCCACTTAGTCTCCTGTCTTTGCAGGAAGTAGCCTAAGATCCACAGGAAGCATCAATATTCAGCAAATTTGGCCTTTGTGGTTACAAGTTATCATTCTCTTGCTGTAGCTCTGACCTTTAGATGCTTCTATCTGGGGAGGGCACAGCTATAGGTGTATGAACACATGATGCCAACACTCACACCAACACACCTTATAGACAAGCTCTGCCTTAGCCACACTGCCATTAAACACTTGCATCAAAAAACGCCTCTGACCATGAGAGAACCAGGGAATCATTACAGCACAGAAAAATCTCTCTCACACACGGGTTTGACCAAGCCTCTCTGTGGACAGTGTGAATGAAGAAGGCATGCCGACATCTACAATGAGAGCTTCCGGTTCCACAATCCATGTGAGGTATCTGTTTCAAGACAAAATACTTCTGTTCCAACACTAAATAAAGTCCAAACAAATGACCAAAAAAAATCATGCAAAGAGCTTAAAATTCTCTTTAAAATATCCACCTACACCAGCAGGCATGTTCTTCCCTGGCAACCACTGAAAACTCATCATTCCCCGTGATTTTAACAGTTTTCCTTTTTCCGTCCAGAGAATGACTTAGGCCTTTGCAAATGTAAACACTGTTTACGAGGAGATAGTCATGAGAATAAATGGATGAGCTAGGAAATTTAACAAGCCAAAAACTTACATTACATTTGTATTTTAACCTAAATTACATACATCATAGGAAGTCCTGATTTGGCACAGAAACAACATCCTTTCTGGTTAAAAAAAAAAAGCAAAGCATGTTGCTTTTGTTTCCTGCCTCCTAAAATATATCAAAGCCTTGAATCTAATCATTATTCTTCTGAGATAGGACAATTTAGTATTTTCACAGCATTTTCCTACAGCAAGTATAAATAAATATTAAATTGTCATGAAAATTACATTTGTGAGTTAAATATAAATAAATATGAAATTGTCATGAAAATTACATTTGTGAGTTAAATATAAATAAATATGAAATTGTCATGAAAATTACATTTGTGAGTTAAGTGGTAAAGATTCTAACTCTAAATTAACATTACCCCGGGAATCATATTTGAGGGAAATGATTGTGGTGCCTGGGAAGCTACGAGGACAGAGATCCAAGTCCATGAAGTTTGTGGATGGACTGATGATCCACAGTGGAGACCCTGTTAACTACTACGTTGACACTGCTGTGCACCACGTCTCCTCAGACAGGGTGTGCTGGGCATCAAAGTGAAAATCATGCTGCCCTGGGACCCAAGTGATAAGACTGGCCCCAAGAAGCCTCTGCCTGATCATGTGAGCATTGTGGAACCTAAAAATGAAATCTTGCCCACCACCTCTATCTTAGAGCAGAAGGGTAGAAGCCACATGGTTCTTTACCTTCAGTCATTCTGAGTCAAATGTCTCTCTTGCTTTCTCCAAGTTGTATGGATATTACCCAGGGTCTAATTTTGTCCAGTTTTCAATCCCACAGAGGTTATGGGATGACTAGTCTCATGGGTTCTTGGGAGGCATAGCTGATGCATTTTCCAAGAGCATTCTTACAGTTACAGCACGCAGTTTTCTTTCTCAGGACTCACGCTCTGGTGCTTGTGCCAGATTGGAAGTCCCCAGCAGAATCCTGGACATTGCTTAGTTTGCCCTACACTTCCCTGTTCACAGGATTGTTTCAAAGTAGAGCTGCTGCTGATCTCCTGAGGTGAACTTGGTGGTCCTCATGTTCCCAGACAGACCTCTGGCTACCCATAAAAGCTGACTTTGAAAAGCCACCCCTCTTCCACACAGAAGATGTGCCTGACTATGAAGGTTCAATGGAATAAAATCCACTATTCTGCATCACAATTGCATTTGAAAACATACGGCCTAGAATATTACCTCTCCTCTCAAAACTAAAGGAAAAAAGTTTTTCCCTAAATTAGCTGACTTTAAAATGTAGATTTCAAATACTCTTCATTGTTTTTACAGAACTGGCTTTATTCCACAGAGATCTGAACACATCTGTAGAATGCTACTAGCCTCTCACTTCTTGAGAGACATGAACTATATAACAGAACTTTCTTTTCTTTCAGAAATATAATTATAAAATGAAACAAAGCTAGAAAATAATCTTCAGTGGACCCAGGGGTTTCTAAACGATCAAGTACTTTAACAGCTGTGGAATGTAGTTAGGATGGTATGAATTGCCACAAGGAGAACAAGCTGCCATGTTTCACGAGAGTTCCCTGTACTCTCTTCGTTCTAACCCACATGGGAGCTGGGAGGCCCCCCCACCCCACCAACCTTCACACGTGGGTGCAGTTGGTGGATGGTGGGGTGTCTATTCGGCTCTTGATTTCTTTAGTATCACCGGGGAGCGACTTTTTGTGGATGTGACACTTGAACACTTGCTTGTATGCCTTCCGGAAGTTTTCTGAGAGAAAGGCATATATGATGGGGTTCACAGAGGAGTTGCTGTATGCCAGGCAGTGAGCAGTGATCCTGAAGAAGAAGGAAGCTTGAGTCAGCGGAAAGGCTCCAAACTCAGCCCAGAGGTGGACGACATGATGGGGCAGCCAGGATATGCCAAAAACCACAACCACCACCAGGATGGTTTGTGCGGTCTGGAAGAGAGGAGTAATGGCAGAGGGTTGGCGAGGAGACAGGAACTGTGTGAGCACACCAATACATCAGAAGAACATAGCACTGTAAAACACACCCCAATAGCATCCCTAAGAACTTCAATGGGATCAAACAAAAGTGTTAAATTTGACCTCCCATAACACCTCTGTTCTTCGTCTTAAGACCCAGCTGTGGCCTTATATGGTCCTGACTCCTAAGCATGTATTCAGTGCTTGTGGGGCTGGAAGAGGATCAAGATTAAGGACTGTCAGTCACACTAGCAGAACTCTTCCAGCAGCGGTGAGATCCAGATCAGGAGGATCCAGAGCTCTGAACAAATGTGACCTATATACAAGATCCTGACTCATGAGAACAAACAGCAACAGAACCGCAAGCTTCATCCAGTGTGCACACACCAAGATCCGTGGAGAGCCTGGAGCTCAGACAAGCACTGACTGGAATAACAAGTGGGGGGCATTGGTATCTCCTCATTACTTGTCTCATTACTGAAGACAAGATAGAGACTGGGGGGCTAACATTCTCACAGAGTCATTCTAAGTGCAGCCTGTAGACCAACAGGTCCTATTGCTTGCTCCCTTAACATTGACCTTCCTCTAGTTGCTCCTAATTCAAAATCACTCAGAAATTTGGGGGAGGGTTTCCATGTGCTCTCAACCCAGGGAACACATACTGACTGGGCTATGTACTGTGTGCACAGGCAAGGCCTCCCAACTGGCCACCGACCTAGAAAGCAAGGGAAACCTCAGAAGACCTTTTATAAAGGACACTTCTGACAGGGATGTAGTACATGTCAGGACTTCCTCTACTGCTTCTTATGAAAGGGGATCCTATTGTTCTAGAATGTAAAGTCTGAAATATAGGACATGGTGCCAACACATCCAGGACTGAGTCTTGGCAGCAAGGTAAGATAACAGTAGAAGTTCATCGCTGAGGAAGGTTGAGAACCAACAGGTAATAAATGACCAGACTTCTGGTGGAGAAGGTAGAGGCAGGGAAGCTGAATTTCAGGTCAGGAGTAACAAACACTATGGGGCATGGGGACAGGAGAGGCATCATGGATTTTGCAAGACTTACTGGCTAGACAGCAGGTCTGTTCATCATCTTTCAAAGATGACAAAACCTCATGACTTGATTTCCTCATTAATGAAGGAAATTAACCAACAAAATGAGTCCCAGATTGTGCCTGGACCATGTGAGCACTAAACCAGCTCAGCTATTAAAAACCCACAGGCAGGTGTTACAAAGTGAAAGCTTACCTATTAAGCCCACTTAAGACCTGGGCCACAGAGCAAACGTAATTAGCTCACACATATTAAGGAAGTGTTTGCTATCAATCCATTTGCCCATTAGTGTGTGAGAACTGCCATTCTCTTGTGATTTCATCAAACAATCTAGAAACGATTATGCCCACACTACAGGATAACATAGCCTCCTCCATCTAAGATGACCAGGCTGTCTCTCTACAAAAGTACCTCCCTGTCAATATTCCATGTCATTGCTTCTTTTAGGAAAAGGTACTAAGTACAAAGCTAAGAGCAGGTCTACACCTTGGCAGCCTTCAGATGAGATTCATATCTTATCAAGATCTGAAATGCAAATGGCTGTGTGCCCTGAGTATGCAATATTTTTCATGGCAGTTGTTTCTCTGAGCATTTGTGGTTCGTCCAAATGTGAACTCTAAATGTTTGTAATCCCTTTACTTTTCTCAGAACCATGCATATGAGCCAGTTTCTTTTTTGTGGTCAACTAGCAGCTTTGAATGCAAGTGCCTCATAACTTATGATACAAATATTAGGAAAATTTATAGATGCATAATTATAAGAACTATCATCTACCTACGAGGGCCTCTATGAGAGCTTACTAGAATGCTTCTGAGTACACAACAGCCCAGTTGGGAAATTCAGAGATGCTATTCTCTCCTGCATGTCTCCTTAAGCTCCAAAGTTCACCTGAGTAAATGTTCTTAGCTTCCTCATGTCTGTGTCCTCCACACAAACTCTGGCCTTGGCCCTAGTCTATGAGTTCACTCTACTTCAGCCACAGGAGTATGAAAAGCCAGATATTCCCAAGAATTAATCGCCTTCTTCTTTTCCTCCTTCTCCTTCTTTTTTTTAATCTTTCGACAAATGCTGATGGAACTGAAAAAAGCAGAATTTAGCAGTAAAAACTCTGCCCTGATTAGAAACTGTCCTTCTTGATGGATGATTCCTTGAGTCTATAACTCAGAAAGCAATATGCCAAGAATACATCAGCTCAAAGTTAAAGATCTCATCCGAATACTGAATCTGTTCTAATTCCAGCCTCAGAACTGTAGTAGATCAGTATGCCCATCGTTAACCCAGAGTATTCTGTGCCCTGTCACTATGACTGAACAGTTATTAGATAGTTACCTTGGAATCTGTCTCTGTGTACAAAGCTCGGGAGCTTTAGTGAATCCCCAATGAACTGCATAAAAGCCACAATAAAACTGGGGTTATCTCGTGGACCTTAAGTGAAAGCAATTAAAGAGGTTTCTCTTGATACTGACAGTTCTCATGGCAGAAGCATTTCTACTCATAGACAAAGCAAGAGAAGCTACCTCTGATGTGTATGTCCCTCTGAATATCAGATATAGCATGGAATCCCCTGTACGAGAAGTGCTAGGCTGTAACAGAGACACTGCTCTACATGAGAAAGGAAGTTTTTAATCTTCATGTCTAACATTGTGTCCCTGTTTCTTACAAAACCGTTTCTCCTTACCGGAGATGGCATGGTGCTCAGCATATTCATTACTGACACCATTCATGCATGTGGAGAGCAGAATGCTGACTACCATGGACAGAGAAGCAGTATACACACTTGAGTTTGGCCCTTTATTAGCGTGGTTTACACTGGACCCATCTAAAAAAGAATTGGGAGTTGGAGAGATGGCTCAGTGGTTAAGAGCACCGACTTCTCTTCCAGAGGACCCAGGTTCAATTCCCAGCATCCATATGTCATCTTAAAACTGTCTGTAACTCCAAGATCTGAGCCTCATACACAGACATACATGCAAGCAAAACACCAATGTACATAAAATACGAATAAATAAATTATTTTTAAAAAGCTGGGCAGTGGTGTGCACACCTTTAATCCCAGCACTCAGGAAGCAGAGGAAAGTGGATCTCTGTGAGTTCTGGGCCAGCCTGGTCTACAGAGCGAGTTCCAGGACAGGCTCCAAAGCTAGACAGAGAAAGTCCTGTCTTGAAAAACAAAACAAAAATAATTAGTCTCCCTTGAGCAGTGAGTTGCTCTCTTCAAGCAATCCAAGACATCCTCCTTTTCTTCAAATAATCTCATTCACAATGTGTCTAACAGAACTCGGCTAGGAAGCAAAGAACGAACACAAGGTGAATACATGAAAAGCCCCATGCAAGTTGTGTGAACAACAGCCAGAAAGCTCACTGCACAAGTCAGGAAACAGGAAACAGTAACAAAATGCATCTGTTGAAAGAGCCTAGAAGTTCATGAGATATCAGCTGACCTTTGACCAGGTTTCTCTCAGATGCACCTACACAATGTGCCACCTAGCCCATCCCACCATCCACCCTGCACCCACCCAGTGTGCCGCCTAGCCTATCCCACCATCCTCCCTGCAGTACCTAAGGTTCCTGTCTCAGGCCAGTAAGCCTCAAGCCAGCAGCATCTCTTTCTGCCAGCAATGCTTCAGCAAAATCCTTAATAGGTCATTAGGCTTTTAATTATTTCTGGGGGGCTGGAGAGATGACTCAGTGGTTAAGAGCACTGGCTGCTCTTCCAGAGGACCTATGATCAATTCTAGTGCCCATATGGCAGTTCACAACTCTCAGTCCAGTCTCAGGAGAGCCAAAACCCTCTTCCGGCCTCCAAAAGCACTGCGCACATATGCTGCACAGATATACATACACACGGGGCCAAATACCTGTACATGATACATAAACTAAAACGTCAATTGTTTCTGAAAAGAAATCCGACCTTCTTCCTGCATTTTCCACCATGTGTGACTAGCTGTACAACATGTCCATCACAAAGGGCTGAACTTGCCCTTCGTACCCATGATGGATCTCACACAGAAAGCTCTGTCTGGTGATGTGAATGTGTATATCCCCCCAGACTCACGGGGTGAAAACTGATGACCAAGATGACAGTATCTAGAGGTCAGGCCATTGGGAGAGGATGAGGAAGAGCCCTCCAGAGTGGGATCTTTATCCTTATAAAAGAGCCCAGAGAGCTACCCAGTCCATCCAGCATGTGTGGATGCAGAGAGAACGCTGGGGCCACACTACACCCTGCTCTTCCAGCCTCCAGAATTGTAGGAAATAGATTTCTACTGTTTAGAAGCTACACATTGTGGAATAGTTTTGTTCTTGTCACATTAACAAATGGGTTCAACACGTGGACAGAAAACTGCTTAGCCACTGAGAAGACCCAGAAATAAATGATGTAAGAATGAGAAAATTATTAAAATCTACCCTCCACTGACCCGTTCTCTGTTGGACCCTATTTCCCATCAATCCCTTGATGTGGTTTGGATATGTGATGTCCTCTAACCAAGACTCACAGGATTGAAACTTTGGTACCCATCTGAGGCTAGGCCTTGAGGTAGGGTCTAACTGTAAGAAGTCAATCACAGGGGGTGGACCTTGAGGTTTCTCAGCCCAGCCCCACTTCCTGTCCCTCTCTGATTTCTAATGATGATGCAATGTGATCAGTCACCTGATGCTTCTGCCACCATGCCTTCTCTAACATGTTCAACTATTCCCTCTTGAACACTCAAACAGTCCTTCCTCCCTTAAATAGCCTCTGTGTGGGTATTTGATGACAGTAACAAGGTAAGTAACACACAGCCATTGACCATTGAGATGTGTATTGCATCAGTCTCCATCAGAGTACCAAGTCATCCCTTACATAGTAAGCACTGAGCATGTGTCCTGATGACCTGTGCCGAGATCCAGAAAAGGGTCCCTGGAGGCCATCTGTGATGGGATGCCAAGGTCTGGGATGCTTTCTGCCAGAAAGGCTCTTTTCCATTCAGTCTGCCTTAAGACTCCTCTGTCTTCCTCTCCCCATCCCCTTGCTTCTCTCTTGCCCTCTCTTTTCTTCCCCCTCCCTGGCATCTCTTTCCTACCCCTTTCTTATACACACACGCCTCACCATCATGTGTATTTGTCCTATGCAAACAAAAAGGCAATTAAATCTATCAGACGAGATCCGACATCTGTTCAGCAGCCATGAAAGGGGTAGAGTCTGAGAAGGGAGGAGAAACATCTCCCTTTACAATGCTCAAGCTTTCTTCCTCATACAGTGGGAATGAGCAAAAGGAAAATTATGTAAATAGGCATTCATTTTACATGCACACAAGCTTACAAAATGGTCGTTATGATCTTCATTATAAAATAAGAGAGGTTTTCCTCATCTTCTCTTACAAAATGGTCGTTATGATCTTCATTATAAAATAAGAGAGGTTTTCCTCATCTTCTCTTACATTGTTCCTTCTAGGACCTTTACAGTTTCTCACCAACATCTCTTCAAAGACAAAGATGAGATTCAGCAAACGTTTTTGAAGGAGAGCAGCTGCATCCTCTCAATCAGAATAAACTGGTTTTCATTTTGTAGCAATGGGAATTAAACCTCAGGCTTCATACATGTCAGGGTAGGTTCTACCAGGAAATTGCATCCCAGGCCTTTTCCATTCATTTTGTATCTTTAGAAAATTGTGTCTTGATAAGTGCCTAGGATTGGCTTTGAACTCCAGATTTGCTATCCTCCTGCCTCAGCTCCCCAAGTAGCTGAGATTTGATTTTACCACCTGGCTTAAATCTTTTGAATTAATACTAAATATGTAGCATAATGATGGATACCTTCTTCACTACTGAATCCCAATTAGCCCCTACTTCTCGTGTGTGTGTGTGTGTGTGTGTGTGTGTGTGTGCACGCAGTCACAGTTGTGAGCATGTGCTTGTGGAAGCTAGAGGACAACAAACATCAGGTATCTTTCCTCATGAACAATCTACCATGTTTTTTTTTTCCTTAGGCAGGGTCCCTCACTGGCCTGTAGCTTACTGACGAGGCTGGGCTGCTGGCCAGCAAGCCCTGAATATCTGCCTGTCTCTGCCTCGCCAGTTCCAGGATTACAAGGGTACACCACCAAGTTCCAACTGCTCTTTTCTCTTCTTTTTCTTTTTTTAGATTTATTTATGTATGTGAGTGTTCTATCTGCATGTGTGACTTTATGCCACAAGAGGGCATCAGATTCCAGTACGGGTGGTTGTGAGCCACCATGTGGTTGCTGGAAATTGAACTCAGGACCTCTACAAGAGCAGCCACTGATCTTAACTGCTAAGCCATCTCTCCAGCCCTCTTCTTAAAAAAAAAAACATGGATTCTGGAGACCAAACTCATATTCTCCTGCTTGCATACCAAGCATGCTATTGACTGAGCTATCTCTCCAACTCCCTGCAGGATGTTACTCTCCAAACACTCATCCTACTAAACGTCTTTGGACATCCATGCTTTTCTCATGATGCTTGGCTCCCAAAGGAAGCCAATTCTTTTTAGAAACCAGAGGTCGGCTTGTTCCTGCACAGCACTGCACACTATAAAGAGCCATCCAAGGAGAAATTACACCAAGTCCTTAATTGTTCTTAAGGACTCGTTTTCTTAGAGGTGAGAAGTTGTACTGGAAGGGAAACTAAGAGATTAAGAGAATGTGAAAATGGCGTTAAAATACAGAGTTGGCAGCAGAGGAGGGTAGCACAGAATTCAGGGCTGTCACAGAACTCATACTTCATCAATTGTTATAAAGAAAGACCCACAAGCTTAGAACTAAACCCACCTAATAACTGCTGGGAGCTAGGGAAGGGCCAGGGACAGAAGTCTAAGACAGTCATCAATTCTTAGGCAGCTTTTTCCCAGCCCACCCTCATCCACTCCTCCAAAAGGGTATGGCTGTGATTGGATGTGAAGATAATTTAAAACAAAAAGGAAGCTGAGCTCTCCAAAACTGACAGCCACGGCATCTGTTTGTGAATGTTACCTTCTTCTTGGATGCTTCCGACTTTTTTGACATGTTCTTCAACTTTTTATGCAGATGGTTAAGGACCTGCAAAATGGAGACAGATGGGATGGATTTACCTCATGCTTTGCTTACACAACGTCTCTTCTTTAGTGTCAACCACTGAACATTCTGCTGTGTTCACACTATTGTTTACAAAACAATGAAAATAGAAATGCATCTTAGATCAAAACAGCCCTGAATCAAAGCCGATAGATACGTTCAGAGGCATCCCTGGAAGACAGACCTTACCCAGACATGAGAGAGCCACAGAAAATGCTAACATGCTCAGAGTTTCTTGGGGGAAAGAACCTCCCCTGGGGTGGAGGTGGGGCTTGCTCCTGCAATCCACTGCTCTACCTGCCTTGGCTCTTTCTGCCCAAGAATCCACATGCCTAAAAGCAGCAGGTCCTACTATACTTAGGCCACAATGACAGCTCAGAGGCCCACTGAAAACTAGAGGCCCAGGCTGTGGGAGTTCATGATCCAGAGGAGGAAACCAAGGGAACAAGGAAGAGACTATAACCTGACAGTTACTGCGTGTGACTCCCCAGTCCTGCGCCAGTTTCGATGCTTGCTATGAACCCCGCCTATCTCAAATCTCTTTGAGCAAAGTGCCAGCCAGCAATGCTGCTTTCTCATGTAGTTCAAACACTGTGTGGTCTTATATTTTGGGTTATGAACCATCTCTCCAGCCCAGCTATGTGGTCTTTAGACACACACACACACACACACACACACACACACACACACACACACACACACACTGCTTTTAGGAATCCGGCATCAATCATTGGTGATTGCAGGTTTTACCCTTACCATACCTGTCAGGGAGGTAAGGTAGCTTTAATACACGAGAAGCCACTATGTTCTCTTGCCGCCACTGTCATATTTGGGAGAAATTATATGAATGTTGTTGTTGCTATTATATATGGGAATTTACAATCTGAACTTGCTCCACAGCATGTAACCTGAAGAGCTGGTCCAAGGCTTATTTTCTCTATTCTGTTGGAGAACCAGGAATAAATGGCAAAAAGCTTGAAATGGGCTGCAGATTTCTGGAGAGGCTCTCAGGACGTGGATGCATGTTCCAGCCACTTGGATGTTTCCCTCCGACACCGCAGCATGAAAATAATTTCATCGAATTGGCCTCGCTGCCAAAGCCTTCTCCACTCTGCTAGAGACAGCACCATCAGTCACGTCCTAATCGAGAATCCTCAGGATTCATTTACCAGCCTTCCCTACCCTAGCAGCCAGAGCAGACAACCAAGGTGCCTTCTCCCGGTGTGAGTCTCTGCCTTCAGATTCCCTGCACTACTGAGACACTTCTCACTGCTGATAACAAGCCAGTGTCTATCAGTCACACGAACCTTTGCTTGCTATGGGAGCAAGTGGACAACTCGCTGGTGCATTGACAGTGAAGTAGCTCTGTTCTGCAGACTTCTCAGTCACTGAGAAGTTTTCAATAGCAGCCATGGGAAAAGCCTGTAAGAGGGAGGTGAGCGCTGGAGACAGGACCCTGCCGATGGAGTCAGGACTGGCCAGCTAGCTGACAACAGCTGCCATGATTGTAAATTCCCATGCATAACAGCAACAACAACATTCACAGCATCTCTCCCAAACATGACAGCAGCGAGAGAAGAAAGTGGTTCTAGGCAGCTATTCTAGCTGGAAACATCTTTTGCATAGATGTTAATATTCGCAGACTTATTAAAATTAAAACAGATATGCTAAGTGCAAAACCTGTAAGATGGTCAGACATCACCAGTGATGCTGAATCCCTAGAGGAAGTTTTCTAAAGACCCCCAGATCACAGTACTGTGGGTTACAAGGGAAAGGGTACAGGAGATGCCAAAAGAGTTCACTGGAGGGCATGAGTATGGGTGACCTGCTTCTTGATGTTAACTGGGTTTACACAGTCATGTCAACTAAGCTGGGGCCCAGTTCAGGAATTCCGCAGCACCTAAGAATATTGATTTTGCTGATCAGTTCACAGAGATTATTCTAAATGCGTTCTTCTTAGCTCTGCTTCCCTCCCACAGATCAGGCTATGAGCACACAGTGGCACATTGAGACATATCTTAAGATCCTGCCATCAAGGAAGAGATTGTAGTTGGGACCCCTTATGATTTCATCACTCGAGACTGCGCACAGTGGGCATGCCCTCACTTTAGACCTAGGAGGGCTCTAAGCAGAATGCATGCTGAGGGCAGAGAGTGGCAGGCAAGAGCCCCACGGTGCAAAGAGAAGTTGTCTTGAAGAACAGAGGCTGCTCCAGCTCACTGTGCTCTCCAGGGTCTTTGAGGTGCAAAGAGCTGTCTCACTAAACATGGCTGAGAGATCATCTCTGGAATGCAACTCATTCATTGATTTTTAGAAAGAAAAATCTATAATACATAGTAATCTCAAGTGCTGTTTTGGCCATATGTGGTTCCTCACATTGGCCATCAGCCCAGCTCCTTGAACACACAGCCAGTTCAGAACCTGACACTCAAGTTCTAGAGTCATTAACTAGATGACACACACTTAGTGGCTGACAGAAAACAGCAACTCCGGATCACTTATCTCCAGCTATCTAGGCCCTGGGATAAATGTGCAAGTATTAACATTGGCTCAAAGTTGTTTGCATCTAGACGACTTTGTGAGAAGCCAACTATTTCTGGATGTAAAATAATCAAATGTTTATCTACTCATTAATTATTAGACTTTGTCTTCTGTGGAACTTTTGGAGACTCTTTATTTACAGACTGTTTAGTCCTAAAAGTTTACTTTTCATTTCCACAAAGATGGAGATGATTTTCCCCCTAGGGACTTTGAGGAGAAATGTTTCCTTTTCAAAGTAGCAGTTAAGAATTTAAAAGACCAATATTTTAAGTACGGTTCTAGTTCCTAGCCCCTGTCCTCCAGGGACCAATTAACTGTCACCTCCTGAAACCCCTCCCTTTACCAGACTCACCATCTGGTCAGTTGCTACATCCCTCTGAAAGTCCCCTTTCTTGTTAATAAAATGGAGATGGCCGTTCCCACCCAGAGGTTCACAGACCAAGCCCATGCCCCACAACTCACTGGGCAAAGCAACCTTTGCCTTGCATTTGAAAAGACCAAGGGAATAAACTGGATACTTCCAGACAGCTAGGCTGTAGAAGCATCTTTGGAGCCAGTGTACTCATTCAGGTAATACAACCATTCAAAAGACACATAGGTGTAGGGAGGATAGCTTCTTTTAAATGCATTTTGGGAGGGGTGACTTATAGTGGGATGTAAGAAACCATTGCTTTTCTACACAGGAGGTTGTTTATGGTCCTACTGTCACAGATCAAAAGATCGGGAGTCAATGAAGGATAAAGTTGCATGGAAACTTTAGAATTTGCCCTGCAGGGATTTTTCCCTCCTGCTTGGTTCTCATAGTACCCTGAAAGGAGATATGGCACTGAGGTTAGCCCAAGAACCTCATCAAGTGGCCACTAAAAATACACTGTGGGTGATTAATGGAGCATCAAGTGGTGATTAAGAAGTCTAAGGCTTTTGATTAATGTAAATGCCCATTGCTCTGTAATTCCTTAGGAGTTGTGAGCCACAGGTCCTTCCCAAATCGTGAAGACAAGATAAATAATCACATAGGTTCCCTAGCTGTGTGTTCTTGCTGTCCCTCTCCAGAACGAGCTCACCACCTGAATCCCTAACACTGTCCACACAACCTTGCCCAGGAAAGCACCTGTCCTTCCACCCATGGTTCCCTAGGGACTTCAGTCAAGTATCTGTGCAGGAGTAGGGCCTCCCACTTGGATTTTAGAAGCTAAACTAAAATCCAAAGCCCTGGCCTGCTGAGCAGAGGCTCACAGAGCTTAGACTCCGAAAACCTACTGAGGTACAGGAGCTAACTTGCTGTGTGCAGACCTGCTCCAGGGGCTACACCAGCAGGTCTCAGCAAAGAGCTAGCAGGGGCAATTAGAGCCCTTGCTGGCTCTTAGAGAGAACACAGGCTCTCTCCAGCTCTCTCTGTCCCGTTGTGTATTAGTTTGTTGGGATCTACGGATCTTGTTTAAAAGCTGCTGAAACCGAGGAGGCTGTATAGCCTTTTGAGCAGCAGATCCGAGACACACAACTCTTTCCTGCTCTGTGAGGCCACCTCTCCAGACAGGAACTGCAAACTCTCCCCAGCACCTCTCAAACCCTAAGTTAACTTTCTTGTGTCACAAATCATGACAGAGCAAGCTGAGACAAAGTGGAATGGAGAGGTAGAAAGGACAGAGGAGCAGGGTGCTAGAGATGGGGCTTGGTCAGGAGATAGTGCTCCCCACTCACCTTGGCATAGCAAAAGCAGATGAGCAGTAAGGGCAGGAGGTAGCCAAAGACGAAAGTGCACACCACATAAGCCTTCTTGTGGAGCTGGTTGGGCCAAAGCTCCCAGCAGAAGGTTTGATTGCTGTCCCGATGGTAGAGGCGCTGGTGGTAGGCCACTGGCGAGGCCATGGCGATGGACAGCGCCCAGATGAAGCCCACGCCCAGCAGCGCGTTGCGGGACACCCTGAGGGAGGAGGAGCGCCGCGAGTGCACGATGGCCACGTAGCGGTCCACAGACATCGCTGCCAAGGTGAAAATGCTCACGAGCATGGACACGGTGAAGAAGTAGTGTATGAACTTGCAGATGAAGGCGCCCAGCACCCAGGTGGGCAGTGCGTACACGGTGGCCTGGAAGGGAATGCAAAAGAGCAGGTAGGCCAGGTCTGCGATGCTCAGGTTGAGGATGAACAGGTTGGTGGTGCTGCGCGGCTTGCCGGGTTTGCTGCGCGCCAGCACAGTGATCACCAAACTGTTCCCCAGCACGCCCATCGCGAATATCAGGCCAAACACCACCAGCGTGATGAAGTTCTCCACGCCGATGCCAAACAGCAGCCTGGACTCCGCGGCGGCGGAAGGCTCTGGATCACTCCCGTTCCCCTCGCTGAGGTTCAAGGTAGCCAGTTCCATCACTTACTGGCACACCCCTTGGGTGTCTATGCAACTGAGAGAGCTGGGAAGGAGTGCCAGGCAGGGAAGGCGGGCTCTAGGGATAGCCGAGGATCTCTGGGTGCCCCAGCACAGTGCAGCGAGAGCGGGTATCTCCAGCCAGAACCTCCAGCAACCAGAAAGAGAGCAAGGGACAGCGACCCGGGCCGCGCCTGGGCGAACTGTCCTCTGTTCCCGGCCTGGCTACAGAGGGGGCGGTGCTGCAAGTACCGACTTGAACCTTCCCATGCGGGGGCGGCGGGCTCCACAACACAAGAGGTACGGTCGTCTGGGCGACTCGGATTGCGAGCTGGGCGGGTAGGACTCGTCCACGCGATCCGCAGGTGGAGAATCTTTTGAGCCTTACCGGTTCTAATCCCTTTCTGGCCGTGTCCCCTCGCTCCCGTGGTGCTTGGGGTCGCACCTGTTGCTCTGAGCCTCTTCTTCCAACTGAGCTCTCAGGGCTCTGTGGCACACACCTTGGATAGTGGAGAGAGTCGCGAGCTTCCCACACTAAGAGCCACCTCCCTGCTGTGCTGGCTCTGAGGCTCCCTACTGCCTTCTCCCAAGTCCTCTGCAGGGCAAACCTCTCTCTGGGGTTTCCAATGGCGGCAGAGTTTCTGCTGCGCTGGAGGGACAATAAGGACGCAACTACTTCCCCTCTGTGCCTCTCGAGTCCCTCCTGAAAAAATCACAGTTTGTTTTCTGAGCCTGGGCGCCCTCACCCAAATGGGTGGCAGTCCACGTCCTTGTTGGAGCGCTGCTCTCAGTGCAGTCCTCCTGGTCCTTTCAAGGCGACTTTGCACCGGCAGCCAAGCTGAGTGAGCTCCTGTGCGTTACTGGTTGAAGCAACAACAGGCTGCGCAGCCCTTCTGTCAACTGGTACCTTTGGTCTTTCCCGCTCCCTGCAAAAGCAGAAATAAACCCCACAAAAATCAAAGGTTGGTTCTGCTACCGGAGGTTCTGTGACATTCGCTACCTCATTCCCTCCCTCATCTAGTCACAAGCTGGGGAGGGAAGAGGCAGCAATGAATGGAGCCTCGCAGGCATGAGTTTTCATTAGGAGCGTGTTCTGCGCACACTCTACACTTCAGAGATCAGTCATTTCCACCAAACGTTACTCATCTCAGTGACACGAATGAACGGAAGCCTTGACAAGTGGTGTGTTTGTAAAGCGGTGTGGGACGTCCACCGCCGCTGAAACCAGGGCAAACCAACTAGAAATAACTGCATATCTGGTAGTACAAACACCGAAAGAAAAACCTGTCCTTGCACGTACTCCGTGTAGGTAGGCGGTAACTACATCGCTTTCAAATATACCAGTGTCCTCCAACGTGTGAGTGACCACACTGCTGGACACAAGGCCCGAGGAAGCGTAAACACAGAATGGCCGGGCAGGATCCCGGAGAAGCTCTGTGCCCAGGACATTGGTTCCTAGCACAGTCCAGCACTTCAGGGAAATGTGCCCAATGGTGAGGCAGGAGAGGCTGTACCTTGGGGAATCTGGGGACAATTCGACCTCATTTCTCCCCATCACCAGCTCTCTTGGGACATTTTTGCCATGCAGTGCATACCTGGTAACTCTTTTCTCTTCTTCTTAATGCAGAGAGCTCCCTTACAAAAAGATGTTGTTTTCATTTTATGGAGGGCAGACTTGTCAGCTGTTATTAGCACGCATCTAAGCATCCTAAGGACATCAGTTGCCTTGCCTTTCTCCCCAGCTCTGTGGCCTGCAGCTCAGAGTTCTGTTCCTAGTTCTGCTATGAAGGTCATATGTAATATGACTTGGGAAAGTGGCTTATCCTTGGGATTTCTATTTTGATTTGTTCTGGTGTGTGTGTGTGTGTGTGTGTGTGTGTGTGTGTGTGTGTTTTCTGGGAGGTAATTGAACCCAGGGCCTCAGGCATGTTGGAAAACACTCTACCAGTGATTAATACACCCAGCAAGAACTTATAGGGATTTTGCTCTTGTTTTTGTTTTCATGTAAACTTTTCATTAATTAATTGCAATTCTCTGTGTGTGTGTGCATGTGTGTGTATGAGTGTATGTGTGTGTGCGCGTGTGTGTGCATGTGCGTGTGTATGCGTGTGTGTATGAGTGTGTGTGAGTGTGTGCGTGTATGTGCATGTGCGTGTGTATGCGTGTGTGTATGAGTGTGTGTGTGTGTATGTGCATGTGTGTGCATGCGTGCATGTGTGCATGCGTGCGTGTGTGTGTATGAGTGTATGTGTGTGTGTGTGTGCTGGCAGTCAGAGCAAACCTTTTAAGAGTTGCTTCCTTCCACCATGGGCTCTGGGGATAGAACTCAGTCATCAGGATTTCTTGGGACGTTCCTTTACACACTGAGACATCTCCTCGGCCCTCTATGGATTATTTTTGACATGACAGGCATATAATGAGATTATATTGTACCCACAAGTGCACCACCCAGCTTAAAATACTTAAAAACTTGTCAATATGCTTTAAGTCATTGCATATATTAATGACAACCTCCACCACAGCCACCTGTGTGGTCCATCACTCATTTCCAAATGTACATGTGATATGTGCATATGTCCTTCAACGGTATTCTCTGGTGGGGATTTAGGGTTTCTTTTTTTGCTTTAGTAGCATGAGATTTGGTTTGCACTATGATGTACATTTTGCCTTGGTTTGCCCTTAGAAGGTAACTCATCTGTCCTTGTTTAGATGCACCATGGATTGCATCTATCTTTTGTTTTTGCAGTCTTCCCCATCCTGTGATATCCTCAGAGCAGTGCACAAATGAGAGACTCAAATCCAATGTGCCCATCTGTTTCCTAACTGGTGAGTTTGGTCCATTTCTGTGTGTTGCTGTCAGGGATCCAAGTGAATTGGTTTGTTGACATTCCCTGGACACTTGGCATCTTTGTTCTGTTTCCTACAAGCTGCTCCCTCTGCTGCTCTTTCCCTGGGATGTTCTATAGCCCCCTCCAGAGAGCTTTCTTCTGACTTCTGCAAGATTCAACTTCACACAGGGGTTTCCCCTGGTCATCCTTTTGCTATCTCACTCCCAAGCTGCTGTGTGTCCTTCCGCTGCTTTCTTCCCCTTTCTCAGTCTTTGTCACAGGTCATACTATAGGGTTGTATCTTTTTAGATGCCTTATCCATAAACAGATGGTGTTGACAAGCATGAAGCTGGGTGGGTTAGTCTTGAAATAATGCAACACTCAGGGCTGGATACATGAGTCTAGATCTGCTATCTGTCCATCAGCTAATAGAAATTAAAAATTAACTGTTGTTATGACTCACTCCCAAACAGTTCAGCCTCAGATCACTGTAACTCTCGTCACTCCTCTACCTAGCTCACCTGGCTCTGTAGCCAAGTTGCTTTATGGACTGCCCTCTGCTGGTGATCACCACTAGACAGCCAAAGCCCATTTTCTTCTTCCAGAACTTGTAGCTGGCTGCCTTTGCCTCCTGGAACCATCAATCCATTTACCCATTGGAAGCCCTTTTCCCTCAATCAGAGAGCACATTTGAATTATTCCTTTAGAGGAAGGCAATGGTAGAAAGTGCTTGGTCCTTATTATCCAGCAGCGCTTGACCAAATTGTTCTTTGCTCAGTGCTTATTTTTGTCCCCAAGAAGTTGGCTCCCTGGCCTTCGTAAATTTTTGTAGATGATTTTCTTTTCTCTGCTTTATTGTCTTCCTTTCAGCACTGGTGTTTTGAAATTGCTTCAGTGTTTGTAATGGCATTTACTTTTCAGAACCCCTGCCTTGAGTTTCAAGAACTCAGAAGTAATATTTTTCATCAGTTCTAGAAAATTCTTGACTGTTATCTCTTTAGTTGTTGAGTTTCCCAATTCTTGCTCTTCTGCCCTGGATTTCTGAAAGACCTGCGGCTCTCTCCTCTGTCTCTTAGTCGTTTGATCTTATCTCTCATCTCTTCTCTGGGCCATGAACCATCCATTTCACTACTGCTCTTGAATTCCAATAGACGTTTTTGCCAAATATACCAGGACTAGCTTTTTAATAATATTTTTCTCATTATCTATGCTTCTAATCACACTTCTTATTTATTCAAGTACTTTTAATGTGATAATTTTATATTCTGAGTATTACACTGTCTGAACACTCTGACACCTAATATATTCCTGTCATTTTTCCATAGGTGATATTTATGTATCCTGTTTGCAGTTTCTGTTTGTCTTTTAATTTGTCGTTGCGTTTTTATCCTGTTATATTGTATCTGTGTGAGCTTTATGAACCCTGAGCTCTGGGTCTATCCCCATAAGACTGTGCACAGCTCACGACATATTAAAGGTGATTTAACCTAGGTGCCTCGGGACACACAAAGGGGAATTATACTACAGAGCAGCACAAGACCCCAGGGGAGAACCTGTTCCTTCTTCCTGATCTTAGAATGCAACACAGCTCTCTAGATCTCCTCTGATAGTTTGCTTGCCTTGCTGTCTTGCTGTATATTCATGTAACCCTACCCCCATTCTCTGAGGTCATCTATCCTCATTCTCTGGGGGGAGGTCTATGAGCTCCTTTGGAGGCAGAAATGGGTCACGCCAACTCCCAGCAAGCTTTGCTGCACTCAAAGAGCAACTCCTAAACTTAACATGAAAGGTTCATTTTTCAGTCCCATGAAGGATCAGCCACCACGAGCAACTCTTCTCTACATAATGACTACCTTAGCAACAAGTCAAGTCAATTACAGCCACAAAGGCTTATTTTTTTCATGCAGCATGTAGTCTTGGACTAACTAATATCCTGTTCTTCATTCAGAAGCACCTGTTCTACATGAATGTGCTGTCATCCAACTATAGAGTGCTGTAGCATCTCATACCACTCATTAGCTCAGGTGACCTCAGGGCAACCTTTTTATATGTCTCTAGTGCATTAATTAATTAGTTAGTCATTATGAGGTTCCCTTCTTTAGAATGAAGTGCAGGGAACTTAGGAGGGAGGAGGAGTGAACTGCACAGCTTTTCTGAAGTGCAGTGTGTCTTGCCGCAAATGTGTGATGAACACAGACAAAATAGTACACAAATTGAACTTCTATAAATCAACAATTGTTCAAGTGTTCATAATGGCCACTGAAAGCTTTATCTACACATGACCCAAAAAATTGCCGGGGCACTTGAAATTCAAGTCATACATAGTGACACAAACATCTAAGA